GATGATATTGTAGATATCTAGGCAATAGCTCTCCAAAATGATCAAGATGAAGTGGACATAACAGCAGCCGGGAATGACATTGATGATACATTTATTACATACAACGATATTGTTGACGATGATGATAACCTGTTTGGTATCATGAACCTGTACATAAAGAGTGATCTACACTTCGACTTACACAACGTAAGTACTTTGCACACTAATGTTTGATGTTTAATCAGTATAACTTTAAATGCATTTGAACGATTTTCCAGCAACCGATTTCATACGCGAGCACAAAGAGTCATAATACTATTTTTATTAATATCAAGAGCTAGGTTTATATACATGTATTTGCCTTTGTATTTATTTATTTATCTATTTATTTATTTATTTTCAGATACCAGCATCAGCCGAGCACTCTGACCAGAAGAAAGACTTTGGATATAAATTCTTTTCATTTTCAACATTCTTTAAATAATATATTAAAGAACAGAAAAATATGTTTCAACTTTGTTATTTTTATTTAGACACAGATGATATCTTAATCAGGCAAAATCTTACTTAAGTAACTATACATGTGTAATTCTATATAGTTTTTTTTAATGTATATAACTGATTTAACGAAAGAGATCCTGTCATGCCCTGGTCGAATTAGATAATTATATAGAGATCCCGGAAATTGACCACTACCACATCGCTTTCGGAAAAGCCGTGATTGTATTACACATACAGAGTCCCCGGGTATTGACCATACGATGTCAAAATGTATTTTTATCAAATTATGTTAAATATGTAACTGTGTCTAATATAATAATAATAATAATAATAATAATAATATACATGAAATTAAGCTTAAGTGTGTATTAACAAAAAATGAACTTAAGCTTAAGTGTGTATTAACAAAAAATGGGTTAAAGACAGAAAAGGCCGGGTTGCATATGTATACAAAATATCATGAGGCTGTGATGTTACTTAAATTTTCTACCACTGTCTTGACCATTGACGTTGAAAATTTAACTTATTGGTAATGAGCATCAGACCTGAAATGGAATCCCACAATATGGGACCACATGTCAATGCTGTGAACCACACATCAAGAAGCTGTGGTAAGTAGTTGCTGAGAAAACTGTTACGAAAATTTCCTACTATCTATTGATCATTAATTATGTCAAAATTTAACTAAGTCGGCAAACAGGAAGTGGATGAGCAACAGACCTGAAATCAAATCCCACAGTATGGGACCATGTGATAATGCTGTATACAAAATATCAAAAGGCTGTGATAAGTAGTTGCCAAGAAAACTGTTACGAAAATTTCCTACCATTGACCATAAATGTAGAAAATTTAACTTAGTCGGCAAACAGGAAGTGGATGAGCGACAGACCTGAAATCAAATCCCACGATATGAGTTCATGTGTTGATGCTGTATACCAAATATCAAAAGGCTGTGATAAGTAGTTGCTGAGAAAACTGTTACGAAAATTTCCTGCTATTGACCATTAATGTTGAAAATTTAACTAGGTCAGCAAACAGGAAGTAGATGAGCGACAGACCTGAAATCGAATCCCACAGTATGGGACCATGTGTTAATGCTGAATACCAAATATCAAAAGGATGTAATAAGTAGTTGCTGAGAAAACTGTTACAAAAAGTTCCTGCTATTGACCATTAATGTTAAAAATTTAACTAGGTCAGCAAACAGGAAGTAGATGAGTGACCGAGCTGAAATCGAATCCCACAGTATGGGACCATGTGTTGATGCTGTATACCAAATATCAAAAGGCTGTGATAAGTAGTTGCTGAGAAAACTGTTACGAAAGTTTTTCCCCGCCCGCCGAACGCCCGCCCGCCCGCCGCCCAACATTCACCATACTATAACCCTGGTTTGCACCAGTGCAACCCGGCCAAAAATGGGCATAGATTCTTGATAAACGTTGTGATTTCCACATTTGAAGTTTCTTAATAATATATAGCTCTAAATATATGTCAATGTCAAGTTAAAACCAATATACCGCATAATCTAAAAAGGAGGGTTTTCCACAAGTTTCTGCACAAATAAAGTGCAAATAAAGTGTATTATTTCTTCAAATAAAGTGTATTACTTCTTTTTGGGAACCGTTGTTATTCATTAATGAGGCTAGTAAAGTTATCGTTCTTCAATTAAACAAATGGACCCAGCAAGTAAGCATGATATATGTTTAATCAGGGACTGATTTTGACATGAAACGCAATGAATGAATTATAATTAATAGAAAACATTAGCCATTTTCCAACGTATACTTGTATCCATGCACCTTTCTTCATGCATCTGGAGTTCCTTTAAGACGTACAATCACCATAATAAACGTAATATTGTATCTGATCGATATTCAGTTCTATAAATAAGAAATCGATATGATCATTTCTATTTATAGATTTTGCTAAATATATATAGTAAATATATATATGCAAAAATTGTTGTGAAATATCGGGGTGAGCCGTAGCGTAGTGGATAAATCTACTCTTTCATCTGAGACTAAAGCAGCATGGACTCTGTCGGCGGGGACCGTCGGCAGAACCTCTACGCTAATTCGACACTCATCCATTTTTCTCGCCTTTTTAAAAAAAATTAAGTCATTCACTTGGTGTTACATACATTATACAATGTATATTATTTCAGTATGAACATATCTAACATATTAATTCTGTACTGATTTTATATAACATGTTAAAAGGAATGTATTGTTTGATTTTATTAATTTGTCAATACTGTATACTGATTGTATGCTTAATGCATCTGGTAAGATTCGCGAGATGCGTGTTTAATTTAAATTTAGTTTGTGTCTATAAAATAATTATACTGTGCGTCATAATTCATGTTTTTAATTTCTTCATGCTGTAAGATCGAGACCGCACGGGTCTTTTTATTGTCATGTTTTTATTTTCGGCATTATTGAAGCTATGATTGTTTTTTTATGTTGTGTTTTTTGGTTTGTTTGCTTGTTTTTTGGATGTTTTACACTTATTTTGGTAATCAAATCAAAGTTAATATCTAAAATTAAACTGAATTAAAATCAATAAATGCCATTTCAGTTCCCTAAAATACAATACAAAACGAGACTGGAGTGTTTCCGAGTGGCTTTGCATCCTTGTCTACATTATAGCAAACACTCCACAAGTTCGCTCCACTTTTATCAGAATTTCAGACACTTTAAATATCTGCTCAAAGATTAGTGGTTTAAACATATTTATTTAGGCTCGATTGCGAAACAAGTTCTTGCAACTTATATTAATCACTTTCGAGTCCGCTTCCTAGTACCAATCAGTACTGGTGTCGTCGTGACCTAATTGGGGCTCAAACCTATGATCCCTGGTTGGGCGGCACACGCCTTAACCACTATGCTACCGCCCACTTAAAGTGTTTAAAGTGAATTGGTCTGTAATGGAAGGTCTGTTATACTATAAATAATTATACCATTAAGTATGGGACAGAACAATGTATATGGATATGAATGTTGTTGGCAAGCTCGAGATAGATAATCCGCTATTACATGAACTCATATAACAGGTAATAAACTATTATTATTCATCATAATTAAATTTTTATACTAATTTTGTAAGATTTTTATCTTCATTTTTTTTCAAGCAATATTTTAGAATCATATCCGAATGAAATATTTCCATTGTTTTTATAAATATTTGAAATACTTATGGAAATGTGCCCACTGTAGACCAATCCACTTTAACATCACATACAAAATCCCTTCATAGATAAGAAAGTTATGGACCGGACATGAAATATACCCTGTAACAAACTATGTTAATATTTGACCCCCAAGTGTGACCTTGACCTTGAAGGTAGGTGACTGGTTTTTGCGCATGACACATCATCTGATTATTGTGAACAATTATGGCAAGTATTTACAAAATCCCTTTATAGATAAGAAAGTTATGGACTGGACACGACATATACCCTCAAATAGGCAATTTTGACCTTGAATGAGCAAGTGTGACCTTGACCCTGGAGGTAGGGGTCTGGTTGTTGCGCATGACACATCGTCTTATTATAATAAACATTTGTGCCAAGTTATTTCAAATTCCTTTCATAAATGACAAAGTTATGGACCGGACACGAAAGTGTGACGGACGGACAGACGGACGGACGGACAGACGGACGGAGCCTATTTCTATATCCCCCTTTTTTCTTCGAAAAGGCGGGGGACAATAAAACAGTTAATAATTGTTAAAACAGAATTATTTTGTAAAATTTTACATGCTTTCAATTTATGTTATAAACTACAACCTTTTTTTTTAACTATTGAAGAAACTTGACAATTCAGATGCAATTTTTTTCCAATAATTTCAGTACTTTGTCACAAAACATATGAATGACAATTATAAGGAACTTTTCATCAAACATTGTCTTTTCATTAAACCGTCAGGCAAACATATTTGAGCCGTGTCACGACAAAACCAACATAGTGGGTTTGCGACCAGCATGGATCCAGACCAGCCTGCGCATCCGCGCAGTCTGATCAGGATCCATACTGTTCGCTTACAAACCCTGTAACAAGTAGAGAAACTGATAGCGAACAGCATGGATCCTGATCAGACTGCGCGGTAAATTCCCCCCCCCCCCAAAAAAAAACAAAACAAACAACATCTTTACATACTTCTTGTCACGTACTGCTATTACGCACACGTGCACAAACAAAAATGAAACAGCTTAAAGGTATATTATATATTAATTTGACTAGCATTACAACAATTGACTTTTTCTTTGAAATATGATAAAAAGTGTAAATTAGTATTGTGTGATAATAGGTGCGTTATTGTTATCACATACATGTATATATAGGGCTAGACAATCACAGTCCTATCAACGTGACTTCATGTGGATAAAATAATATATATTCTGTTCTTGCTATTTCTAATATTGCCTGGAAAATTAAGTTACTCGTCTCTATGAAGAAGTTTGATGTTTATTGTAGAAAATAAACGTCAAACTCCTTCATAAAAAAGTGTTACCCCTATAAAACGTAGGAAGTTGATACACTTCGTGTAATAGATACTAATATATCTTTATTTTGTTTAGAAAACCGTAGATATGTTAAGTCTAAAAAAAATATTAAAAAAAACAAATAAGGCAGAAGAATTTTCTAAATGGCAAACATACCAACACTTTAAAAAGTAAACATTGAATACTTTAAAGAAACGAGAATAAAAATCTAAGGCCAGCCGCACTGACATAAAATCGAAGAAGGCACAAACCTAACCGAGAGAGGTAACAAGCGGAAAATTGGAAGTTAACAGACATGTCAATGACTGATACTATTGATAATTTAATAAGTGAAATGATAAGATCTAAAAGAACTGTTACGGGTATAAAGTGACTTTTACTATTTGAAACCTAACATTACAATTGATACAAAACAGATTATCTTATACAGTATTTTTTATGATTTTGCAATGAAATAAAGTAAATCACAAAAAGGCTCAAAGACGTCAAAATGAATGCAGC